ATAAGCTAAGCCGAGCCCGAGTCACCAGCATCTCGAGCTTAAAATGAAGCTTAACTTATTAATCAAGTTTAATTATACTAATTTTATATATTTCTAAATATTATTTTATGTATTTCTAAATATTGAGCTTAAATTGCTCTTAGAAGATGAGATTAATTTATAAAATTGAGTTTAGTTGAGGAGCTTGAGGTGTAAAAGAATAATAAAAATATATTAAAATAGGAAATTCAAAAAATTTAACAGAAGATGTCAGTTTAAAAAATTATAATAGAAGTCAATATTCAACATCCAACTATATCATAGCCACTAGAAAAAGAGTTTAGAACATGATGTGGTTAAAATATGGTTTCATTTGGGACAACTTTCTTCCAGCATTCTAAAGTAGTTTTTCAGTACAAAATTTTTTTTAACTTAATTTTGGTACTAAAAAATTGCTTTATGAAGTCTAAGGCTTCGTTTGGGACGGCTTTCTTACTGTTTCTTAAAACAACTTTCTAGTGTAAAATTTTTAATTTTTGTACGAGAATAAAAAAGTCGTCTCAAAAGAAGCCTAAGGTTTCATTTGAGACAACTTTTTTCATGCTTTTTAAAGTAAATTTTTGTACATAAATTTTAAATCTTGTACCACAAAGTTATTTTAAAAAGTATTAAGAAAGTCGTCTCATACGAAGCCTAAGACGAGGAAAAACTTCACTTTCAACTCGCAAACTGATATCCTTCAGAAGAATTAATCAATTTGATACATAATCAAATATTTTAAGTCCTAAACCCTAAACTTACAAAAAAATAAACAACAAAAATGAATGTAATTACACAAAGATTTAAATGAAGAACTCCTAATAAAATATCATCTAAAATTTGCTCTTATTTTAAACTAAATTCACCAACTTCAAATTTTCTTATGATTAAAATAAAAAAAAAAGAATATTTTGATCCAATTTTTTATCCTTTGACACAAACCATGTTGTTTATTGAAGAGCTCAAATGATAGAAAGCAATTATTTCTAAATTAAACAAGGTTGGTTTATACATACAAAGTGCATGTTACTTTGATTGACATTATCAATCTTTAGACCAATATATTTGGACAAAAATGTAAATAATTGCAAATATGTTGGTGGGCCCTTAGCTAGCCATGTTATTATTGCTATTATAGAGGGGGCCTATTGTCAATTATTTACTCATACAAACTATTATAGCATAGCTTAAGGTGTTTATCTCATGACAATGCTCCCTAAAACAAGAACAAGTTAAATAAAATATTTTTATTTTTTTTTTACTTTTTAATTTCAGGCCACCAATTGTTCACACAGTACTTGCAATCACTTTACAGATCAAAATAGTGCTACTAATCACATTAAAGAACATGTGAGCTTAATTGTTTCAAATTAGATATTCTGTTTTTTTAATATATATATATTTAAGTACAAAGTAAATTTATAGCTAATTATGAAAATCTCTTACTCAAAATTACTTTATCAATAACAAATTTACTTTTTTTTTCAAAAGCAAATTTAGAAATAAAATATAAATTTTTTCATTTAAATAAACAGCTTTTCCAACCACAAATATAATTAAAAAAACCCAAATAAATAGGCAAATCAAGTATAGAGTTGGTTAGCTTTTGATTATAGTCTATATGCAATGCATTTGTCTTCCATCATTCTATCAAAAGCATAATTTGGGTTGTTATGATTAATAATCTTAATTAGAGCTAATCAATAATCACTATATTATATAAGCAAGTTGTAGTCCTTAATGGGAATAAAATCACTCCTAATATCTTATGCTAATCTTAATTAAAAGTAGCTTTAATTGCCAATAGAAGACAAAATAAAGAGGGTGGATTAGTTGTATACTTATAGCCATGGTTTTGAAAACCGGAACGGACCGGCCGGTTCGACCGGTTCAACCGTGAACCAGTCTTACGGCCGGTTCGGTCTTTCCTAAGAACCGGGCTGACAACGAACCGGTCAAAACCGGTTTGAATAAATTCAAAATTTTTCAAAATCATTCAGACTCTAATTTCAATAAATTTATAATTGAGCTGAACGTCTAGACGAGACGAACATGTCGATAATAGAATTGATCCAATCTAACTCCAAATGACCTCAAATCAAATATTTAAATTAAATTTGGAAACTTTTGAAGATGAATCATATCTCCAATAAATTTAGATTGCTCATGATTGTGATTGCCATGATCTTCCAAGAGTAAAAAAGCACATATCATAGTAAATTAGCACTATTGAATTTCACATGTTTTACTGAGAACATTTGATCAATGAAAATTATACTTTAGCCACAAATAAATATTACGTACAGTGGCTACCTACCTACCTTGAAAATCATAAGCATTCCCATTGAATCTAATGCTTATAATTGGTTTGAAGACTATATAGTCGCATATGTGTGATGTTTGTGGTAATTGAAAATTTTTTGATGGGCATAAGTATACATATATATATAATCAAATAGTTGTCTAACGACAAAAGTGAAGTGCTGGTTCGACGATGACAATTGAGCAGTGAATCAGTGATCCAATATTGGTGCTCAAGTGGTGTTTAGGATAAAGAGAAGCAAGCAATGGTCCAATAGTGGTTCTTAAGTTGTGCTCTAAGATTTTTAGAACCTTTAACTCTCTTGAATCAGAAGCCCAAGTCGAAGATCCAACTCCAATTCTACTTTCCCGTAAAGAATGAGGTTGAACTTTCTGATTTTTTAGTATCATTCCAAATAAATATGAAAAAAAAGAATCCTCTATGGAACCTCTATCAAACGGCTTGTATTGATTTCCTTAATCACAAGACTCAGTTGCATTCATCTCGTCGAGACACTAGATTTAACTACAAACATCCATAAATTAAAAATCATTTGGTCATCCAATTAACATTATGAAGTTTTCAAATACATTTCAACTAATTGACTCATTTTGATGTAGATTAAAACACTTTTGATTTTGTTTGATTCATCTTATAAGGACATTCAATTCTACTACAAATTTTCTAAAACCAAAGTTCATATGATATTGGATTTAATTTTGAATATTTTCAATTCAAATACACATCAAGAGATTGCCAATCAAGATAATTTTTTATGACATGTATGTTTAATAAACATATATAATTTTGACCTTCAATTGAATATGAACAATGAACACGCTTCAACCAATGTATTTTTTGCGTCAATTCTATAACTTCAACATAGGGAAGCTTCCTTGGAGCACGTCTATAATGGGCTTTTCTTAGAATGGTATTAAGGACACTAAGGAGAGTTATTAATTTTGGGCTTCAAAGTTAAAGGCTACAAAAATACTCCTGATAAAAGCCCATCATAGGATTAAGTACGACTTAATTGGGCCTTACACCAAAACTAAATTCATAAACCTACTTAAGAGTAAAGTTCTTATATATATATATATTCAGACATAATTTATATTATACTCATATTAAAAATTATTAAAACTACTGGCATAAATATTTTATATGAAGAATTTATATCACACTAATACAACAACAACAACAACAACATCAAGAATTTATCCCACTACGTGGGGTCGGCTACATGAATCCTTTTTCTCCATTGTGTCCTATTAAAAGTCAAATTCTCTTTTAAATCTAAAAAAGAAAGGTCATTCCTCTATAGTCAATCTTATATCACACTAATCTCAAAATAAATTTAATGGCTTTGGAACCTATCATGAAAAAAGTTTATATGAACATATAACATTTTTTTTTTATATGTAGAAAAATTATGAATATATTTGGGTCAAATGCTATTTCAAGAGCTAATTTCACCAAAATATTTTATAACAAGCATAAATATATAATAATAAATAAACAAAGTATTCAAAATAGAAACTTTCTAAACCTTACCCTAAACTGAGAAATCATATAAACTCTAATTTGAATAAACATAATCAAAATGAGCAACGAGGTAGAGCCCAAAAATATCAAGAAGTCCAAACAGCCATTAAACAAAAGCACTTAAGACTTTGACTTCGTCTGCAATAACATTCTTATTACTTCTTAAAGCTACTTTCTACTACAAAAAATAATTTTTTTTTGTATTAAAAAGCTATTTTAAGAAGCAACAAGCAAGCCGTCTCAAACGAAGCCTTCATGAGATCTTTTAAAAGGCCAAACAACCAACGAATTTTGCTGTAAGAATCAGCTGGTCCGGTTCAGCAGAACCGTACCTTACGCTGAAGCAGGCAAGCAGAACCGCGACCCGAGCAAGCCGCATGCATTCGTGCGGCTACTGAAGGGATTCAGATCATGCATTTAAGCGAAGAATCACATGCTAGAGTGAAAACTAACGACTCTTTGTGAGTAATATCTTTGTTTCACTCACGCCTGTAAGGACAAAACACATGGGAAAGTTTCAAACGAGAGAATTCGACAGGTGTAGAACCAATTGAGACAGATATTTAGTTACTATGATTTGAGAAAATATTAGAGGGTATGTTCTATCCATATGAAAGAAAAGTTTCATTGGCAATATTTTGTACTTGATGGTGGGCCGAAAGATAGTGGAGTCAGCACTAGGATATATTTGGAGGGATACCTAGCATGCAAATCAAGTGAAATGAGTTTATTCGAGTGTTCAAAGACTGGTTTATGCCTATTTCTGCGAGGAGGAAAATGCAGAATAGATTTTTAAAACTAGTGCAAAGGAGATCGATCTGTCATACAGTATGAAGCAGAATTCACTACTTTATTTATTAGATAGTAGACAACAATCATTGAAAGTCATATGCTAATAATTAGAAGCGAGAGACCTCAAAAGGAAATTGATGATTATCATTGGGTCATTGGCAATAATCTATCCTCTATCGCAAATTACCTTAATAAACAAAATTATCATAGGGGTAACTTATCTCTAAACGACTCAAATCTAAGCGGGCATCAAACCTACCATATGAACTCTCTTGTGTTCTTTCCTTGGTGCCCAAAGTGAAAATTATTTCCTAATTCACATGATCATTATTACTCTCAGCTATATCCCAACATATCTTATCTCCTACTCATTTATATAGCCTTAGCTTTTGCCAAATAGCATATGTTCCTCCATATACAAACAAATGCAAATTTGCGTTCTAAAAAGCAAAAGCTTTCTCTTCCTATCCTATGAAGAGACCGAAACCCAAAATAAAAGTTGCAGCAAATATGGTAATATCAAGCTAATTTATTAAAACAATCATACCTGTATAAGCTTCTCATTTCATGCCACAAGCACAAGATCGTGTCAGAGGTATCCTCATCCCAGCAGTCTCTGCTGCTACTTGAAAGAGATAATATGGATTTCAGCCATTCTTCATGGAGAGTGGAGAATTCAGCTCTCAGTTCACTGGACTTGAAATTTTCACTAATCATAAGCTTCATTCGGTCACCAGCAGTTGAAGCTGCTTCAACAACTGATTTGGGAATCCCTGCCATGAGAGCAACCTGCAAGCCATAGCTCTCAGGAGAAGATCCTGATGCGAGGCGGTAGAGGAAAACCAGTTCTTGTTCGCCGTTGATCTTCCGGTCAAAAGTGCAGGCCATGTGTTGCATGTTCACATGTGGATGAGAAGCGAATTCTTTTGTCAAGGGATGGTAATGAGTGGCAAAGAGCAACCGGCAGTGAACATTTTCCACCAGGTGGCGCAGTACCTGGGCAAAGGCGGACACATAAAATAAGATGGATATTTGAAAATTTAAGTACTTTTTCAGAACAATAACATTCAAATATACGTTTAGCTGCAATTTTATCCAAAGGTTTTAAGTCGTGGTTTTAAGCCTATAAAAAAAAATTTAGTTTTGAAGGTTTCGTCAGTTTCAGCATTTAGTTTCAGCTGTGATTTATATTAATATTTTATGATAACATATTGAACATATATATTTGAAGTACTACAACAACAACAACATCAACATAAACCTTTATCTCACCACATGGGGTCGGCTACATAAATACATTTTCCCCGTTGTGTCATTTTAAGAGTCAACTTCTTAGTTAAATCTTAAATCTAATAAAAAAAGTCGTTTACAATACTTTCTAACTAAATTTTTTTAGGTTTGCTCCTACCTTTCTTAACATAGGCCAAATCTAATACACCTACTCTCCAAACCAATTCATTAGCAGACCGACGTTTTATATAACCAAACCATCAAGAAGACTCTCTAATCTTATCTGCCACTAGAGCTACTCTAACCTTTTCATGTATATACTCCTTTCGCATTTTATCTCTTATAGTGAAGCCACTCATCCACTCGAGCATCCTCATCTTTGCAACACTTAATTTAATTTTATGCTTCACTTTTAAAGGCAAACATTCTGCGCCATAGAGCATTGCAGGTCATACCATTATCTTATTAAATTTTCTCTTAAGTTTGAGAGGTACTTTTCTGTATAATAATAAGCCCGATGCATTCCTCAACTTCAACCATCCAACTTGAATTCTATTAATAATATTCCCATCTATTTCAACACACTTTGAACAATATACTCGAGATTTCTAAAACGAGTACTCATTTTAACGACTTGATCGCCCAAAGTCACAATACCCACACTAGATCTATTACTACTAAAATTACATTCCACATATTTGATTTTAGATCCGCTCAAATGAAAACCTTTAGACTCTAACTTTAACCTCTATAATTCAAGTTTTCCTTCAACTCTATGATGCACATAGACGAACACGACGACACGGATACGACAAGACAACGACACAAGACACGCTAATTATTGAAAAAATATGACACGAATATGTGTTGAACACGGTATTATAATTTTTATATTTAAAACTAGTGTATAAAAATTGAATAAGACTTTGATGTTGAGATGATTTTGAAATGTCAATGTTGTAACGACGTCAGACTTCGATGTTGAGATGACATAGGGCATTGTTGTGAAACCAAAGTCATGGCCCACCAAAAAGAAATGAAAATGAGAATATTCGATAAATGTGGTATTGAGTGCGGGCAATTGATTTGGTGTTGTGAATAGAAAATAAGAAATTAAGTTTTTATATTTACAATAAATAAATTTAAATACAAGAAATTCTATTTTAAAAAATTCATAAAATATTTAAGACAAATGTCTAATTTGTATTTAATATTTTTTAATCGGATATGTTTTCAATGTGTCTCTGACACATGACCCAAATACGTGTCGGATATTGCACGCCTCTTTTAAGAGAAGTGTCGATGCATCATAGCTTCAACTCCATATGTAGTTTTATCAACAAGCATAATATCATGAGCAAAAAGCATACTCCAAGGTACATCCTCTTATAAAGTCTAATAAGAAAATCCATGACTAATGTAAAAAGATATGTGCTTAAAGCTGATCCTTAATATAATCTCAAAATAGAAAAAATACTTGCTCAAATTACCATATATTTGAACATAAGTAACAACTCCTCCATACATATATATTTGAAGTAGGACACAAAAATAAAATAAAAAATAATAAAAAAGTACTAAACACAATTTTTTTTAATTAAAGTTCAAGTTATAATACATAAAAAATTTATTTAATTTTTGTTTTGCTACAAAAATTATGAATTTTTTATGAAACTTTGACGTTTCATATGAAACTGTCAAAACTCAAACCCAAAATCTTAAGTTCTGACTGAAACTATCAAAACAAAAAATATTGATGTGGTTCAAATATATTTCAATCAAATCAAACTCAAACAATCAAAATCACTGAAATTTAAAATCGTGATTTTATCACAAGTAAATGATATCAATCCTTAACATGGAGTGATAGAAATTATAAAATGTGCTCTCCAACAAAACAGCTATATTTGATTCAAGGTTTTAATCTGCTTATTAAGGCAACTTTTGCATGGTTGAATACTGAGACCAAAGATAAGAAGGGTTTATTCTAGGAACCTAGATAAACATAAGTCACCAAATAGTAACTATAATTTCCGCTCGCTGCATATTAGTACAATTCATCCACCCACTTCTATGTCTAACATAAGCAAGCCTGAATAAATATTCAAATGTAACTCCATAAAAATAAAAAATTTAGTTTAATGCCACAAATAATCATACTAAAAAGAAAGTCCAGAAGCTGCACGATGAAAAAAGTGGAATAAGAGCACTCACAGCATAGGCAATTGCATATCCATCAAAAGTGCTCGTCCCTCTACCAAGCTCGTCAAGCAATACAAGAGAATCTTGAGTTGCATTTCGAAGAACTGATGCTGTTTCCGAGCATTCAACAAAAAAGGTGCCTACAAAAGAAAACCTCAAGTTACAGTAACATTTTCACAAGTTTTTTTATTCCGAAAAAATCACAAATAAGCAAGTGTGTGTACTAAATTTAAGCGGAAAAAAGGTGGCACTGAAATTGCCACAAACATTCAGAGTGAGATTTTAAGTGTGCATGTTTTCTACTAATTGGAGCATACTTAAACAGCACATCTCATGCTTGTCTTTAGCACTCGGAGTCTTTAATGTATTTAATGATCCACCACTTCTCTGTGTTCCCCAAATAATGCAACACCACTCCACTAGCCTTACTTTAATTTGTACTTTTGTTTAAACACTCAATGCTTCGACTCGTCGCCTTATTCATTTTTTCTCAGAAAAAAAAGAACAATAACAGGGTTTATGACTGTTAAAAGATAAGAGGAACACTCACTTTCACCTGACATGATCCTGTCAGTTGCACCAAGTCGTGTAAAAATAACATCCACAGGACTGAGTGTGCACTTTTCACCAGGCACATAACAGCCCAACTGCATCAAAATGGCACAAAAAAGGGGGTTGGACAAAATCAATTTAACAATAGGCAGAAAATGAAAAAAAAAAATAAAATTGTCCGTTGACTCTTTATGAAGGATTAAAATGATTCCTAACTATATTAAACGATCATTTTGATCCCTCAAGTATTTTAAAAAAAATTAAAATTGTCCCATGGTAAGACTAATTTTGATTCCTCTATAAGAAGTTGGGAGATTAAAATGATCATTTAATATAATAGGGGACTAATTTGATCTTTTATAAAGAGTCAAGAGATCATTTTAATCTTTTTCTCGGTAGAAAACTGCCTAAATCATTATAAATAATGAAACCAAAAAATTACCTGAGCAAGTATGACCACAAGGCAGGTTGCACGCAAGAGTGTTGATTTTCCACCCATATTTGGCCCAGTCAACAGCAATGCACATGGCTGTTGCTCAGTAGCGTCTTCACCAAGATTAATGTCATTGGGGACTTGGCCATTCTCATTATTTCCAATAGCATATGGATGCCATAAACCTTTAATACAAAGCCTGGGTCCACAACTTCCCTGGACGAAACTAGATGAAGGTTTTGCTGACAGGAGAACAGGCCTGCACATAGAACCAGCCGATGAGATTACACTTGCAGCAAAAGACTGTAATACATCAATGCAGTTGAGCGCATGGATGACTTGAGACCAATCTGCAGCCTTTGCAACAAATAGCTCAATTAACGCAGACAATGTTTCAGCATCTGATTCTTTTACGTCATGGTCCTGTTATGGGTCAGATAAATTTCAGTTCACGATTTCGATGTGTAAATATCTCGCTGCAGAAACATATTGGTTAGCAAAAATCAAAAGCATGCTTGAATTTAGAGTTTCTTCACATAGAGGTGTATGAGAGACTTCACCTCAAAACATAATAGTATAATACCCTTTTCTAGTGGAGAATACACTATATAAAGGGATCAACAACAAGCTTAAGTTTTCTTTGGGATTGCTGCAACATTTTGTAAAAATGGGAAAAATAATTTTTTCAAAACCTATGGATATTATAAATTTCTTCTTTAAAAAAATTGAACTCCTTTCTTAAAACTATCATACATTAGTAACTTTGCGTGTAAAAAATAACTTCCCACCACATAAATTTTTAAAAAGCAACAAGAAAAAAAAAACAGTAATCAAACAAAACTGCAGTTGCAATATGAAAAATAAAAAAGCGAGAAACAAACACTTAAATTCATATTCTACATATGATATCAAATGCTAGGTCATATGAGTGAAATGGATAAGGGATCTAAATCTAAAAGGAAAATCCTCAAAGTAATATTATTTATTTATTTATTTTATTTTGATAATTGTGAGGATTGCAATCAAAAGATGAGTTTATTTATCAAAAATATATATACAGTCAATTTTATCTTTAAAAGGTGAAAAGGCTTAGGAAAACATAAGGTAAGAAAAAAAAGTAGGATACTACAACTAATGTGAGGGAAGTCATTAATGGGACATAAGTAAACTCTAACATGGTCACATGATTTTATTGTCTAAGATATTACAACTAAACCCCAAAATATAAAGAAACAACAAGCTTTGATTGTAACAATATAACTTCAAGTTTAGAAACTATATAGTGAAATTACTAGAATTAGGTTAACAAGCTTGTTACAACTTGGAGCCAAACTTCCACATTACACGTAGCTACAAGAGGATAGTAAAAATTTATGTTATACATAACTATAAGACAATTTATCTCACGATAAAAGCCACCCACTAGCTCCACCACTGACCATAACTATTAGGAGCCTAATTATAAAGCATGGGCTACCTCATTAAGGCAATTCACTAAGAATCCAGTATAATAACATGCCAGGGTACAAGACTTTTCGTTTTGAAACCTATGGCTCACTTTATTGGCAAAGCTAGTTATACTAAGTGAAAAGGCTCAAAGGTATGGAACATGGTCAATAGTGATTTACAGGCAATATATATGAAAAATGTGGCTCAGAAGCATGGCATAGTCAACAGTGGTTCAAAGGCACTTGACATGATAGATGATGGTTCAAATACAAGGAATGACCAATTCAGCTATATATGAGCAAATCCAAATCCATCTTGAAAAGGGAAGGACCTAAGGCTCATTTGCATGCTTGTTATTCCTTAAGCAATTGATGTATTGCCCACCTCAACCACACGCTTTCTTTGGCAACTAGATTAAGAACAAGATTACTTGAGAAAAATGTAAAAGTGGCGGTTTTGAAATTGTTTATGGCAAAGAAGCGTATATTTAAACATGTGCTTATAATCAAGATTTCAAATTTCTTTACCATCACCGGTAGTGAAACCCCCATCTCTACTAACGGCTTGAATCACCTACTGTGTAGTTCACTAGTATCTGCAATTTTCTTTCTTAGATTTCAGGACATTTCAAATTATTTCCATAAAATAACAAATGATTTTTTAAAATTATAGATCTTTCTATTTGCAGAGATAAATTTAAATTACCAGTCAAAAACATTTGATCCATAACTCAAAATACAATAAATTTACATTTATTTAAATGAACAATAAATAACTAATAATTATCTGCAAGCACTTTTGGGGCATGTCCTTTTACATGAGTTGGTGAATTGTTTAATTTGAAATTTGCAACATAATTTCGTACAGCACTATGGTATGTGAAGAAGGAAAGTAAATGTTATTTGTGATAATCCTAAAGAACTGAAGACGAGAAGGAAAGCTTAGAATATTATAATTAGCAGTAGACATTCTGAAGTAAATCACAAAACATGAACTAAACAAGCTGCTCATAACCCAATATGTCTCAGAATTTTTTTGATAGAAGAGCAAACCAAATGCATCCTTCTATTTTCGCAGTGGCTAGTTTGTCACTATAAGGAAAATCACATGCAAACAAACCTGGTAGTGAGGGAAATCTTCACTCATAGCTGCTTCTAACTGTTTAAGTAGATCATTAAGCTCGCTCAGCACAGGTAGATTCACAATCTTCGACAAGAAAGAAACTTTATGCTCTTTTTGTAAGATCATCAACAAATCCATCCCCATCCTAAGCCCTTTTATAAGTAAACCAAACGCTTTGATCTGAAAGAGATCAAGTTTATCCACATAATTAGCTACTGAATCAAAAAACTAGATTTAAAGCCAAGTAAATCTACAGTAACATGCGGTTTGAAATGTGGAAAAAATAAATCAAGCCAGAATAAAGTTCATAAAATTTGAGCTAATTACTTATCTCGCATTAGGAATCATGATGATGTGTATAAATTCAACAACAACAACAAGTCTTTATCCCATTACGTGGGGTCGGCTACATGAATCTTGTTCTCCACTGTATCCTCTTAAGAGTCAAATTCTTATTTATATCTAATAAAGAAATGACATTTCTAATATTTTCTAACCAAGTCTTTTAGGTCTACGTCTTATAAATTCAGTTGTAACAAAAATAGAGATGACTATTACTCTATTTTTTTGTCATAACCCATCCTACCCATAAGAAGCAAAACAACTATGAATTAAAGTTAAATCACCATTAAAGGCGCCCAAACTGCACCTAACTCTGAAACCTGATGAAGTGCAGCAGCCCACAAACGAAAAACTACTTATGCTGCTTTCTGTAGTCTCTAAAATACTTATGAAATATATAAATGAAGTGATTCCAAGCAGACATATCGAAAAATGGGTGAACTTAAACATATACACAGGGATAGATGCACATGCACCAACACAACCGTTCATCCGCATGCATACAAATAAAAAAAATTCTTATAGCCAATACAAACATTATCAACACAGCAGGGGTACTTCCCGGAAAAAAAAAAAGGAGATACAACAAAATAAGCACATACCATGCACTTATTAATGCACGTAAATCATGGGAAGGAACGGAAAAAGAAGCAGCAAGGTCATATTATGAAGTATAAAGACATCTGGTTGAAATATAACAGCCTCCGTCTTTTAAATCATAGCAGACGGTATCTAGCTCAAACACTTCATTTAGACAAACTTTGTATATTCATATACCGTTAGGTCTAATTTCAAAGAAATCAATGCTGCGTCTAAAAACCAATATGCCAAGAAAATTCAAAATTCTCCAAATAATGTATTTCTATGTTACTGAAGGAATTAATGAATCTAGGCATACAATCATTAGGCCATATATATTTATAATTATTCATTACTAAATGCAGGAAGAATGTTGGTTATAGTATCAGAAATAGAATGCTTTCGCTTCCAATAACATAAGCTTGCAGACTTACCCGCTGTTTCAACATCTTTGCACCAATCAAAGGCAACAAAAGCACATATGAGGAACCAACAGATGCCTTGACACGCCCCAACAGTCTATCAAGATCTGGGAGCTTACACAGATACTGGGACATAACAGAAATCACTTCTGGGTTATTTATTAAGCCCTCAACAACATTAAGCCTGTCATTAATATCATCAATTTCTTTAAGTGGATGGCAGATCCACCTCCTTAAAAGTCGTTTACCAGAAGTAGTTCTGCAATGGTCGAGATGTTTATACAATGTCCCTATTATTAAAAATAAAAAAATAAAAACTCATTAGAAACTAAAAAGAAACATGTAGATCTTCATCTAAGTGGAGAGATCCGCTTGGGCAGATGCATATTATTTATGGCAGTATAAAAGTTCAATACTTGCCTGATAAGCCACCATCAAAATTATTTCCAAAAATTTCAAGATTCAAGAGGGTCTGACCATCCATCCTTAGGCAATCTTTGTACAGATGATAAGACAAAAGCTCCCCATTGCGCAAAGCATCCTGTAGCTGGTTAAAAAAATTGACTAAGCATTAGTGATGTGATACAAACATGGAGAAACATGAATTACACTTTAGAGATTAGTGAAAACTTTAACTTTGCAACATTAACAATAAAATTTAGCTTACTCAATTAGGATTCAAGAAAATTCGTGAGAGATTAAGCGGTAGGCTTTGACTACACTTGAGAGTTACAAGAGTCTTGCAAAAGATAACCAAAAGATAACTAAATAATGCAAATAGCTTTCACTAAAGCCACACGTTTCAAGTTTAGACCGTTCACCTTGAGGTCCGACAATCTCTCTTTGAAGTGGAGGTTAGCGGAAGAGGGTTGCAAGAAAACTTAGCGATACCACTAAGACACATGTGATGCCAAGAGGACTTGTCGCCGGAGAGGAAGTGGGAGTTGGAGAAGCGGGCGGATGACTTTCGATGATCCACGTGTAGTCGGAGAATTGGTCGTCGAAGGCGTCCACTAGTGTCGGTAAGATCCGATCTAAGTAATCTTCGACGGTATTGTCGAAGCCAAAACCCACGTTAAAGAAAGGCGATCTAAGGACGTGAATGTGGCCGTAGGTGTCGAGTTCGATTCCGTAGTCAACGGCGGGATCCGCCATGCACCATGAACTTGAAGACGAGCAATCCCCTCAATGAACCAAGAGAGAAGAGAGGGGCCGGTTTGGAGAGGAGGAAGGGGACGACAGTGGAGCTAGGGGAGAGGAGAGGGATTAGGTTGCGAAACTGAAATTGATTTCAATTTCAAAAGATTTAGGAGGGAAAATTTTGGAATTTAAATTTGAAATCCCACATTAAAGAGGGGAATTATTGATCATTCAATGGGAGAGCCAATAGGGGGGGCCGGCGGCATCAATAGGGGCTAGGGTTTGTGGAAAACTGAAGGAAATTTCAGTTTTAAGTGAAATTGGAGGGAATTATTTTGAAATTAGAATTTGAACTTCAAAATAGGGAGGGGGATTAATTGAGCAATTAATGGGAAGCCCAATGAAGGGTGGCCGGCGGCATCATGGTGATGGGGAGGAGATTAGAGAATGAGGAGGAGGTTTCCAAATGGGGATGATGAATAGGAAAGAATTTCTTCATGAATCTAATTTCATTTGGATTGAAATTGAATTCAAAATTCTAAAACTTTCCTAATTTGGAACATCCAAATTTGGAAATAATTTGAATTTGAAATTCAAATTACTAAAAGGGGTTAGGGGAGAGAGGGGTGGTGGTGGGAGGGTGAGAGAAGTGGTTGGCCGGCGGGATTGTGGTGGCCGACGGGTGGGCTCTAAGGTGACGACAAATGTGGAGGAGGCCGACTTCTTCCAACTTGTTGATGTGGATGGTGGCGTTTGCGGATGAGGAGAAGATCAATGGATGCTAATACTAAGAGAACTCACAAAGAGATCTTCTTGAACTCACAAAGAGAACACACAATAGAAAATTTCATTTCTTCATCAATAATCCACTATTACAAGAGAAGGGCCATATAAATAGGCCTCACAATGACAAATAAAAACAAAAGACTAAAATGCCCCTTGGGCTACAATAGCTACCAAATACCCATAAGGGCAAAAACGGAAAGCATAAAATAAAATTAAACTACTACATAAAATGATGAAAGTAAAGATCATGATCGTGGTCGTCGATCTCCGGCATCTCCTGAAGGTACATGTGTCGAAATCTGATGTCCCCATCAATTAGAGTAGCATTAAGATGAATTTAATCCTTTAACAAATGAGCCTATGATACCACAAGTTGATTCTAGATACAGCATTGCACGAGTTAAGGCACTCTTGAGTTGCATAAGAACAAGAACAAAATGTGGGAGAAAAAGAGCAAGGGATTGTAGAGATACGTTAATAACTGGCATTGTTATCACAAAAACCAGAACGCTAATTGTAATTAACTTGTGCAAAATGAACGGAACATAATTAATGTTTGCAAAACTACATGAAAATGCTCAGTTGTTAATGCTAAAAACAAGAAAAAAGAGGAAAAGAGGGTATGAAAAACTATGAAAAGAAACTTCTTAACAGAAAACAATTCTCCACTAACCTTCAACCGATTCAAATGACATATAAGTCCACCAAGAGCAGATAAAACGTGATCATAGTGCATTTCACTCTCAATCGCTGTAGTCCATAGATTAGAAGTTCCCCGGAAATATCCATGGCTATTTATCATTTTCTTAACTTCATTAGCATCCAAAAATCCTAGATCTAGCACAATGGGAGTCATTTGCATTGTTGACGAACCTGTATCCAGGGAGAGATTAACATATTAAGCCACCAACAAAATAACTAATTTACTTGGCAAAAAATCAATCAACCTTATTAATTAATTATTGAAGAAATATATCAAAACTACCACAATCCTTCCTCAATTCTTCAAATTCTTATATAAATATCTAAATTCACAATAACACTACAACCCATTTTTTTTTTTAATCAAATTCCCAAAGCTTTGATTATAGCACGAGTAAAGATATGCCTTTGCCAGTTTTTCATTTTAATGGTTGATAATTTTGTAAATAAGATAAAATTCAGTGACATGTGCATAAATCACCCTTATTCTCAATTTCTCCTGCATGGGACTGACAAAATTTATGCTCTCAAATATTTTCTGATGATATGAACCAACATATATAAACGTCTTTGATTTTTTTCTGTAATATTATAAAATGATATGAGGATATAGTCTTCCTCAAGATGAACACACATCACATAAAAAGAGTACTCTATGATCACTGTTAGAAACCCACGCTTAAACAAAAATACTCAATACTTGATGGTTAAAACACTGCTGTCTATTTCGAACAAACAAAGTGAGAATAAGATAGCTTACCAATATTTATGAATATAAAAAACGTAAGCTTCTAAAGGTAGTGAATGATGTAAGGGGTAACAATTATGAGGTCCTTGAGTTAATTACATTAATTTTTTTTACGCATATTTTCAAAATATCTATTGTCCCTTTCAGACAAGATATCTGTTTTTCAATCTTCTTACTTCTTTCATATTTCACTCAATCTAATTATTTTTTGGTAGCATCAAGATATTGGAAAACTAGACTTAGTCATTACTAGGCATTGATTAGAATCTAACAAGATAGAATTAATAGTAATTGTATCAAATTATTACAATACAAGCATACGTAGGAAAATAACAATTAGATGCTTCGATATAATAACTAGATTAATCGAGTGAGAGATGAGAGGGGGCCGCTTGAAATAGACAAACAATAGGAGCAAATGGTGCTGAAATCACAAATAATTACTGGATAAACTATGAAATTTGAAATTTGAAATTAGGTAGGATTTAATAAAAAATAGTCAAAAGAAAAAAATAAATGAATGCAAAAAATAAATTCTTCGTTCAAATAAATACAATTACGTACCAAGCAAAAAACATAGAGTTTAAATGTAGCCATATGAATTATATAATTGTCATGCAAAAAATTTAGCTTTTAATAATTTATATAATAGATTAGATATTAAGAAGGAAGAAAAATGTATGTATAAATTAGCCTAGAGATAGGAGAAGGATTTAGTCCAAGTGAAGTGCATTAAGGATGAAGATCAAAAAGTGCTTTTATTAGAAGAATATATTAAATAAAGGTGGATGAGATATTTTGATAATATTTTTAATAAAATTTATGAGGATACAATTAACTTTAATGACCTTAGCACTCTAAATTAAAAAAAAAATTTATTTTAATCGATATATTAGCAAAACCAAGTTAGAGATACTTTAAAGAAAATAAAGTGTGAAAAAGCTGTTGAACTTGATGATATTCTAATAGAGGTGTGAAAATGTTCAGGAAGTGAAAGAATTTCTTGGCTCATGTAACTTTTTAATATAATTTTGAAGACAAAATATGCCAGATGAGTGGAGGAGTGTGTTTGATGGGTACATCAGCAGCGATTTCGACACATGTACCTTCAGGAGATGCCGGAGATCGACGACCATGATCATGATCTGTATTTTCATCATTTTCTGTAGTAGTTTATTTTTATTTTATGTTTTTCTGTTTTTGCCCTCATGGGTATTTGGTAGCTATTGTAGCCCAAGGGGCATTTTAGTCTTTTGCTTTCTTTGTCATTTTGAGTCCTATTTATATGGCCCTTTTCTTATGTAATAGTTTAATTTTTGATGAATGAAAATTTTAGAGTTCATGTTCTCTTTGTGAGTGCAAACCTCCACGATCTCTTAGTGAGTACGTAGGAGAAGCTAGATCTCTTTGTGAGTTCTAGGTTTTCTTGTCCTTCTCTTTTCTTTTGTTTATCGTGATCAAGTCATCGTTGCGTGGATTTGGATTGAAGACACTAGTGGAAGATTGGATTTTCAGGTTTTGGATCCCAAGAATTTCCCCCACACTCTCCCCTCCCTTGCTCTTGCCGCCGCCCCCCTCCCTGGATTGCCCAGGCCGCCGGCCTGCAGCCCCAACCGCCGGCCAACAGCAACCGGCCAGCCCTTCCCCAGGAAATTAATTTCAGATTTCCCAACCTAATTCTTGCTTAGCCCCACCCGTTCCCTTCCCTATTGTTCACCCAGTTAATTCTCATCAAAAGTGCCAATGGAAAATTCCCAAACGCCTCATGCAGCCACCAAATTCCTGCACAAGAGTTCCACGTTCCAGCTGTCCAAGATATCCAATTTGCTGGTCTTTCCCTTCTCAGCTTGCTGCCAAGAAGAACCAACCCAGTTTCCTCACCGTTCTGTGGCCAGAAGCCACCCCGGTTGCTGTCCCGAAGCCCTCCAAGGGCTGTTTCAGGTTTTCTGCCATTACCAATGCTGTACAGTGAATTGGAGAGATCACCATTGCAGCCCACTGTCCACTAGCATCAAATTCAGCAAGTCTAATTGTCCGGGATGACGTCGTAGCTTCTGTCCAACAATTCTGCAGGTTTCCTTGCACCACACACTCACCCGCGAGGCCCCAACCGCTGTCCAGAATTCCCTACTCCGGCCACCTATCCAAGAACGACGATCCAAGGTTCCTTCTTCCTCGGAGCGACCTCGATTCTAATGTGGAGACTCTTCTTCCGCTAAAGCCTAGATTATTTGAGCGTATGGGCTCCAAAGGTGACAGTTCTCAATATTAAATCGTGGATTCTTGTTTATTGTCGTAGCGTACAATTATTCTTTGCGTTTTCTTGAATTGTTTGGTTAATCGATCTCGCTCTTCTTTGCCTAAGCAAATTAAAAACTACGAATTCCAAGGATCAAACTTTTGCCATAAGTGACAATTTTATTTTGGATTATTTTGTTTAAATTGCTCTCTTTAATTTCTTAAAGTAACTCCATCGCATGCTTTGTTTCACATCAGTGTTGATTCTTATTTTTAAGAATAAAGGTGATGCACCATAGTGTACGAATTATAGAGGAATTAATTTGGATTCATGCTGAGTAGGTTTACAATGGGAACTCTACATTTCTTGAGAGGTTTGACGGAGAAGTACAAGAAGAATAAAGAGGATTGACATATGATATTTATTGATTTAGAGAAAGCTTATGATAAAATTCCAAGAGAAGTACTACGGAGAGTTTTAAAAAAGAAATGGATTAATAATACTTATACTCAAGTCATTAAGAATATGTATGCATGAGCTGTTACTTGTGTTCAAATACAAGGAGGTTGGACCAATTATTTTCCAATTTTAGTTGGATTACATCAAGGAGCAACTTAAATCACATATCTTTTTTGCTTTAGTCATGGATGTTCTTACTAGATATTTGCAGGAGGATGTACCCTGGTGTATGCTTTTTGCTGATGATATTCTCTTGTTGATAAGACTAGAGAGGGAGTCAAAAGTAAACTTGAATTATGAAGGTTAGAGTCTAAAGGTTTTCATTTGAGTATATCTAAAATCAAATATTTAGAGTGTAATTTTAGCAGTAATAGATCTAATGGAGATATTGTGACTTTGGGTGATCAAGTCATTAATAAGAGTACACGTTATCTCAGGTCTATTGTCTAGAGTGATGGTGAAATAGAAGGGGATATTATTAGTAGAATTCAATTTGGATTGTTGAAATGGAGGAATGCATCAAGCCTGTTGTGTGATAGAAAAGTACCCCTCAAACTTAGGGGAAACTTCTATAAGATCATAGTGAGACCTGCAATGCTTAATGGCGCAAAATGTTGGCCATTAAAAGAGAAGCACACAATTAAATTAAGTGTTGCAAAGATGAGGATGCTCGGGTGGATGAGTGGCTTTAATCTTAGAGATAGAACGTGAAATTGGCATATACATGAAAAGGTTGGAGTAGCTCCAGTGGCAGATAAGATTAGAGAGAGACGTCTTAGATGGTTTGGTCATATAAAATATTGGCATTTTGATTACTCGATTAGCGTAGTAGATGTATTAGATTTAGCTTATGTTAAGAGAGGCAGAGGTAGACCTAAAAATACTTACTAGGAAAAGATTAGAAATAACCTTTTCTATTAGATTTAAATGAGAATTTGCCTCTTAAAATGATACAATAGATAAAAAGGATTCATGTAGCCGACCCCACGTAGTGGGATAAAGGCTTGATGTTGTTGTCGTTGTATACATAACTTGGGTAAGGGACATCATATATATCCCAACAGTTGTGGAAAGATTAGGAAGAGAAAAAAAAAAAGAAGATATATTAAAGATAATATGGCTAGAAATTATGCAAATATATATATATATATAAATGGAATTAGCATATCACATAGCACTCTACAAGAAGGAATGGAGAATACAAAAGCAACACAAATGGTTAGGGAAAGACTAATGATGATGAAGAAACTGAAATGGTTTTCACGCATTAGTAACTACACATAACTGTCAAATAATGCAATTGGACTCATCTGTTAGCGACATCCTCCTAAATCACAAAATTAAACTTGGAATTACAGATAAAATTAGCAATCACTTGAACAATATTTTATGACCGTTTTAGATGCATGCCAATAAACATGGCAGCAAAATGTTCAAGAACCCCTTGATAAATCTTCAGCCCAAGGCAGTTACTAAAAAAATGATTGAAGAACCCTAAAAAAGCAAAGACATTGGCGCAGGGCTACTGCATAGGATAAAAAATAATCAGAAAGACATTGGAACATCTCTTTTTGTATAATAAATTTCCAGAACCTTTTGAAAAGCAAAGGGCATGGTGCAGAGACATATAGATGCATATTTGATAGAACAGATACAAACGATGCACATGTAACTTGATTATACATCAAACGAAGATTATTTTACATCCCAGTCATTCTCCCTCTTTAAACTTTTTTCATATTCTCTTTTTCTGCTCTACAATAGGATTATGAATATTCTTTCTTTTTTTTTTATATGCACTCTAATTTAAGTACTCTATTTTATGTTTATATATATATATATATATATATATATATATATATATATATATATGAATCTATGCATAAATTTATAATTTAAAACCCTAGGCATGTCAATGCCCTATATTTTCCAAAGATACTTCATCTCGTCTCATCCCTTTCTCAAGTAACTGTCCATGTGTCATAAAATGAACCAAATCAAAATCACAGATGCAACCACAAACATGAGACCACAAATTCATAAACATGATACAATAATGTAGCAGAAAAGGAAAAGAAAAAGAAACATCCAAATTAAACCTCCCCACAAATAGGAAGGTTATGTCCGGGCCTATGTCCCAAAAGCAAAGTGTTCTAGGTATGGCTTCAGCTGGCCTAGTGTAAGCTAGTCAATTCGCCTACTTTGCAAATTAGATATCAAAAAAGCAATGTTTTATGAGGAATTGGAACACAAAAGTAAATTCTTATTCTCACAGTAATTTAGTCAGCACATGTTTGGTTCAAATGCAAAAATGGTTTTCAAGGTAATCAAATACAACAAATATAACTGGCTGCAGTCATTTCACATTTTACACATAAATAGCCACCTCTTGAAGCATATTTCAAAAGTGCCTTGTGAGTTTCTTTAGAGAGTCCTGCAACATTAGAATTGATGAATGTTAACCAAGTCGCAGGTAATTACAATAGAAATAATCAGTATAAAGGAGTGTGCACATTTTTTTACCAGATTTTTCGTAGAGAACTTCCCTGGGTGAAACCTGAGAAAATGATCCAGTACTTAGACAAACGTTCATATGACTAATAGAATAGAAAAAAGAAGACACTTACTTGCACCAACAGGGCCCCCAATGCTGCATTGGAACCATCGTCAAAAAAAGAGCCAACCCAAAATTTTAAAGCAGCATAATCCAGAAAAGCAAATCCATAAACAGTAGAACCATTATTTGTTTCCCCCTATAAAACGGAAGTTGGAAAATTAATGCTGCCCTTCAAAACAAAGGAACAAGTAATGTAACTTTTTAACCTACAAGTATAACATAAGCTAAAGATGCAGCAGATTAGCTTTCAAAGGAGGAAAAAAACTAAAAATTATTTACAGTTGGATGACAAACTAACATGTTTAGCTTGTAAAATATTTTAGTCAAGTTTCACAAATAAAAAAATAAACAAAAAAAGACTGCATGTTACATCCAAAACCTTCAGAAAGATGCTTTTCGAGGCCAATTATTTCCCATTATACATGTGTACTACAAAACATTCGGAAAGATGCTCTTTGAGGCCAATTATTTTGCATCATACGCGCATACTATTCCAATCCAGCCATCAACACATATCTCTCATACATTAATCTAATGGCCAAATCCTTTAATCTTCCTTCCAGCCCTCCCAGCTGAAATTCACGATCATGCACAGATAAAACTGAGATGCAAGCCAGCAGTAGTAGTAAGGATTTCCATTGGATCAAAGCCTGCTCGACGACTACCAAAGTGAGACATTATGTTGGCAACAATCCCATGAACACTAACTTCGCACATGTGATGAAAGTGTGGGCTCCAAAAATTTGAGCTTTAAGGCCCCCCGGCCTCTATGCGTATATTCAAGGATAGTTTTAACGAATTATGTTTATGGGCAAATTTTTGGAAGGCCGATTAGATAAAGATAAGATATTATCCAGAGATTTTTCCTTCTTAGTGAGGACTTTAAGATCTGAGTTCCAATTTCCTATAGGTGCTAGCCCTTATAGTTAATTATCTCTCCTTGTAGCGAGAGAACTTTCGATTAAGACTAGTCATTAGATATACACTTGGTACCTACCGTATAGTAGAAACAAATTTAGAATTTAAAGTAAGAAATTTACTACCAATCGCTTAAAGCGGATGGTGGTGGAATGATGATAAACCTAATCAAGACCTTAAGGTTTCATCATCCTAGTCATCATGATCTCTAATCTACTTAGTCAGAGGAGGTAGTTGACCCAACATGAAGGAACGATCATTGTCGGTAGCTATGAGTTGCTTCATACAATAGTACCTTGTAGACTTGAGGTGAGTATTTATCTAAGGGATGAATTCAAGTCAACCTTAGCTAATAAAAGGCTTTGTGCCCTATCGATTATACCATATAATTCATTATTTAATGGTAACTAACCATTGGGGAACATACGAGCCTTTAGCCATGACAATAATATAGTGGAGTCGTTCAACCAAGACAACAAATCAAGGGCTGCAGTCATAATCGTTTATCACCTGGAGTCGTTCTAGCCAAGCCACGGGTTCTTTGTGGAGCCGTCTGGCCAAGCCAAATATAGTCGAGTCGAGTCGGCTCACGAGCTAACTTGGCTCACTTACACCCCTAAATGCGACAATCATCAAGGTGACATTAGTTATTTGAAAATGTATGTATTTTATAATTGTTGGGAGGCATCTAAAAAGATATATTCTCCTCTGATTGAGATTAACTTTCAGCACAACCATCATCAGGGCGACAATAAAGTCATCTTAAAATATTTATAATTCATTCAAGTTTGGAGGCATTTAAAGAGTAAAGTCTCCTATGGTTGAGATTAAGATTCAACACACCAACATTAAGGTAATGAGCTACTTAGTATCTTTCGTTGTCTTAACATTGTCGACTATGTCCGGCTGCTAATAGAAGATTAGGTTCGAGGACTGATCTCGTAAGTTATTGTATTAACATTGAGAACTGAGAGCTTATATTTTATGATGATTTTCATTTCATGAGCTTCTGAAGGCCAAATATGAACTTTAAATTAAATATTTCAATAGATTTGTTATTAGATTGTTGGCTCAAGAATAATGGCGCGTCAGCATGAATCTTGCTTTGTAGATAATGGATTACATTTCTCTTAAGTCAGATTGTAATTAATCAGATTTTTCCTGATGGCTGTGTCAAGGTTTAGTTAGATATGGGTCCTTACTTTCCAAGAGAACAAGTACTCATAATTAATTACCCCTCTTAACGCGTAAGAGAGAACTCTCGATTAAGGATGAGTAATTTTAAATGTTCTAGTCTTAATTGTAGGGGAAAATGGAGGTAAACTCAATCAAGAACCCATGGTTTCGTTGTCTAGGATATACCGTAGGTTTCAGTCTACCAACATTAACAATCATTGACCGTAGTGTCCAAGGAATCTAATTTTAAGTCAAAGATTGCCTCCTCTCATGAATCCCGAGTAGACTGAGATGGTTAAATATAGATTTTAGTTTTATTGGGATTGGGGTTTACATCTATTAGAATACCTAGAAGTTAGTTTTGATTTGGGGTTTATAACTTCGTTTAGAAGTTGCCAAAAAATTTGAATTGAAGCGAGTCTTATGGCTTCTTCCTAAGAAGCTTGAATTTGGTTCGGGTTTTACGGCTTTCATTAAAAGTAGCACGTAAAGCGGGTCTTATAGCTTCTATTAGAAGTAGCCCAGGTATTTGAATTTGGGTCGGGACTTACGGCTTTCATTGAAAGTAACTCATAAAGCGGATCTTACGGCTTCTATTAAAAGTAGCCCACTTGTGGGTCTTACAACTTCGCCCTATAAGCTAAGATGCCCGTAAGTTTTAAATTTGGTTATTTAGGTTTTAGGATTATTACAATTTACTTAGCAATTTCCCTAACATGTTGGTCTTATGATTTCACAAAGAAGTTGTCCGTTGGCGGGTCTTACAACTTAGCCCTACAGGCTAAGCTGCCATTGGTTTTGGTTGAGGGTTTAATTAAAAAAAAAAGGTTGAGGGTTTAATGTTTTCTTTAGAAATTTCTTAAAGAATAGGTCTTACAACTCCCTTTATAAGTTGTCTGATTATTTGGATAGAATGAGTCTTGTTGCTTCCCTTTGGAAGTAGCCCAAGAATTTTAGTTAAACAAGTCTTATAACTCCCTTAGAAGTTGTCTATGTGTTTAATTTAGAGTGGGGAGAAATTATTTTATGCAGACGCCGGACACAGCTCTATGTCTGGATGTCGCGGTACCGAGCAGTACCGAGCGGCGGTATAATAAAAGGGTGACTTGGAGCATTTTTATTAGTCTCCGGACGCCATTCAAGGTCCGCACAGAATAATTTTTCTAGACTGAGACTTACGACTCCACTTAGGAGCTGCCATGTTTAGCTTTGATTGACAAGTCTTACGACTCCATTAGAAGTTGTCTGATTATTTGGGTAAAACGGGTCTTACAATTTCCCTTTTGAAGTAGCCCAATAGTTTTAGATGAATATGTCTTACAACTCAGAAGTTGCCTATAAATTTTGTAAGACTTACTACTTCCTTTTGAAAGAAGCCTAATGGTTGTGTTTAGAGTAGATTGGAATGTACCCGTAGATGTTTTAGCTTGTAATTATTTGCTAGCTTGACACTTATACTTCTAGCTTTCAATTGTTTACTAGCTCGACACTTACTAGCCAGCAAGAATGTTGTTGTGTGACACTAGTATTTCTGTTATAATTTTTTGCTCTTTTTTCTTTTCATTGTCGTAAACTGTACTATTGGTTGTTTTAGTATAAATATGGGTGACTTCTTAGTGATAGTAAAAATAAGAAATCAAGGTTACAAGAAGCTACCTCCTTCAAAGCAAGTAGGTGAACAGCATCTGGACCCATACTGCCATCAACAACAGTGGATGGAGTAGCCATAAGGACCAATTTTCTTTCTATAACCTGAAAAAAGTGGAAAATAAGCTCGAATATTAAAAAATAAGAAAAAATCAAATAAGTTCTACCGCATATAGTTACAAAAAGACAAATACGAAGGTGTGAAATAGCTAAACTCCAAGAAGCTCTCAAGTTAAACATGAAAAAGAGAAAGGGAAATTTGCATAGGTCCCTCTTTTTTTGCACAAGTAGAATTAGATCCCTTGCTTCTTTAATTCCCTATGTTGGGTTTTCATCTTCTCACACAACAACGCAAATTTGTCCATTTAACTTAGACAACTATTTTTGTATTAGGACAACATAAGAGATGCTTCCTGCAAAAATTTCAACCCCTCGTTCGTTGAGTCAGGTGGAAGGGTGAGACATGACAGAAATGAGAGAGGTTGGGAAGTTGAGTAGAATGAAGAATGACAATTTGAAGGATGACTAAGGTGAAAATATGAATTTTAATAAAAAGGTAGGGCGAACTTTTTAGCAGCTTCTCCAACACAAAAAAAAAAACTGACTGGCTAAAAAAAAGAATACAATAATTAATGCCTAATCGAATAAAAAAATGAGTCTCATGAAGAGATAAAAATATGAAAGAAGGTTTCAAGTCACTCCTAAAAATGAGGTACTTGCATGAAAATTTCTGAGAGAAAGATCCGAGCATTTTAAAAATTTACTTCTAAATTTTAAAAACATTTTTCAATATTTAGTTTAAAGTAAAACCTCTGGTCAATGCTTGCCTAAAAGCACAAAAGAAAATACAAGTGACTTTAAAACTGCATAAATGAAGCTTTGCAAATCCTCTACAATTGGGGAAAAAAAAGACCACACTCAGTACAATACACATTATTGAAACATGATCTAAGAGGGAAGATCCGACAAAGCTTGCATTATCCATCCAAATTATCTTGAAAATAATATTAAATTCAAATTATTCTTTAAGTTAAACGCTTTAATATGCATTAGTTAGAAAGAAGTTCTAATACTATAAAATGGATTCTTAAGAACTTTAGCTAATTGAATAAGATAAATAACATTTAACCACGCATCTACAAACTATACAGGAAAAACGGGTACAGCATCTAAGGTCATGACAGCTCACCAAATTTTTCCCTCTAGCTTTGGCTTGGTCTGAGGTCTCAACTTGCTCCATTCGGCCCACCTTATACCTTTTTCAATAGCACATCACAATTTCATGAACAATTGTGAGCATGCACTATTATGATGCGGACACAAAAACAAAATGAATCGAACATATCAATGTCCATACCCCCGAGCTATAAGTTTCTCAACCGCATCATCAATTCCAGCCTCAGAAATTCCAACCTGACCACCACATGTTCACAATAAAAAACAAAGATCTTACAAAAAATACACTAGAACATTGATGATAAAATTGAGAGACAATAGCCATTAAGAAATCATGATGAGCAACTCTAGGGATGATTGAAATAACCTTTATAATTTTCCAGCGTCAATATATACTAGGAGTGCTCAATACAAATTACCAAATAAATGTAGGTGTGCACTGCAGTAAATGCATATGCATGTAAGCACAATAGAACCTAGAATGATAGACTCGCAAGACATACAAACAAAAAACACAAAGGAAGTATTGAAATAAATAAAATAAATAACCACATGCATGCAGTTAAAACTAAAGTGGCTGCACTTTAGGAAAAAAATATATAAACTACTGTAATAACCAGTTGGACCACTTCACTTGAACTGGCCCTAGGCTAAAGCGCAGTGCGGAGGCAAGTAGACAGCCCGCTGGTAAGCCAGAGCGCGAGTGGGCGAAGCAGTATGAGTGTGGGCGAGTACGGGTGAGCAAACTAAGTGAGGAAACACATTTGAATGCGAAAAGTAAGGACTCCTCATGTGAGATAACTATGATTCGCTCACTCCAGTGGAACCATACGAATGAAAGAGGCTGCGACCAAGAGGAGGCATTGATAAAAAGGAAATTTGGAGAAAGAAAAGAACTAGGTTAAGAAGAAAGTTTAGGGGAAAGAGAATGGTGCTTGGAGAGAGAAAGAAGGAAGGAGTGGAGAGTTTCTTTTCCATTGAAGGGAAAAGTAAGTGATTCCTTTTTCTTGTTTAAACTTGAAAGATGAAAATATTATTTTGCATTTCACTTGTATTGTAAAATTTATCTACATGTATAAATGTAGTTGGTGAATGCTTTGACTTGATAGAAAAGAAGATTAATTGAGGTAATTAATATTTTTTTAAGGAATATTTAATTTCATATTATGTTAGAGATTAAAAGAAGATATATAATAGCAATTGTGTGGTGATGATTCAGAGATATACAATGTTGTTCAATGATGTTCAATTAGTTAAAAGTCCACCTTATAAATAGTTAAGTAGTTTTTGTTGTTTTAAGCAATATAAGAATACTTGATGTTACTTTGATAATATTTGAATCATTCAAGTTAGATTTAATTTAATTAAGATGTTATTGAAATTATTTGCAACAGTGAAGGATTTAAATCATTAAGTGGAGGTGAAGTACTAAAGCCAACAAAAAATCTTGAGAGTTTAGAAACTATAAAAGTTCGGAAAGGATTTCAACAAGAAAGCAGCGAAGTGAGTGATTCACGTTTATTTTAAAGTTCTTCTATTTTATTGCAATTATTAAACATTGTATATCATATGTTTATTAATTATAATTTATGTGTTTATTATGCATCAAAACTGAGGAATAGTAAGCAATTAAAGTTACAAAATGATATAAATATATGTATGTATATCGATATGTGTGAAAGTACATGTATTGATTAATATGCATGTAATGAATCATAAAATGTAAATGAAAATATAAAAAGAAAAAAAATGTGCATGCATGTAAATACAGGAGTTCATCCCTTTATGATACTAAGGGAGGACGCAATGCAACCGTGCACGTTAAATGTAAAAGGAAATGAAAATGATTGTACATTCATTGGTACAAAATTTTGACGGTACACCTGTAATAAATTAAAAGGGAAAAAGAATAAATGAAGTAGAAAAAAGAATAAATTAATTAAGGCATATAATTGAAATTTATATTTATATTAAATATTTATGTATATGTTAACTGAAAAAAAGGTAAAGGAACATGATTGTATTTATGTATGATTAAATGGTATACTGTTGTAATTATCCATTGAGTTTATTATAAAAACTCAAAATGATAAATTCAAATTTCAGGTAAATCCTTTGAGAAATAAATGACTAAGAGAGAAGAATTCGTAGAAGGAGATCAAATGAAAATAGGTAAGAACTTATATATATATATATATATATATGCCTCTTCAGTTATATATTGAATGTTAATCTGTTAAGTGTTTTATTTTATTGAAAGAAATAAATTAATCATCCGACTGTCTGTTCCTACCTCATTCATTCAAGTCTCCAAGTCGGTCGTGACAACTACATGTATGTAGTTAAAACTAAAAAGTAGATGGATCTTAGAAAGAATTGCGAGAAAATTTCAACAATAATTTGGATAGTGTAACAAGCATTCTCACATCCTATTCTCTTCGAATAAGAAATTATGTCTTATGAAGCAAGGACACAATCACGAACTCAAGGTTGTATTAAACCTTGAAAAAGCAAGATATGGAGACATTTGGGTATAATGAATCATATGTTTGTAGATGCATATGCTTATGAAAATCTCTAAATAGACCTATATATATATGATATGTTTACAACCACCCATTCATGCTTGTAAAAATGTGCGCACAGAAATGAAAATTTCATCACATTATGCAAAAACATGTAAAGCATATACCCGGGCCTCCAAAGTTGGCAAGAAAAAAAATAAAAAACAATGAATAAATAAGTTCTTATAATATGGTGAATATACAACTACCATTTCTTATTTGTCGCTATTTCTGACTTAATAAAATTGTTTTAAAATTTATGGAATGGGACTTGTATGTTTAGTGCAAAAAATCTGAATATGTGTCAACAAATAGAGTATCTGACATTGTTTCGTGATATATCCGTGCATGCTAGTTGGACATGGCATATGGATATGACATCCCTTTAGAGCCAGTCATTCAACGTATAGCTTACCCCATAGCTGCCATAGGTTATTGTTTTGAGCATCCATAACACATAAATGAACATTTTCTCTTAATATATCCAAATTCAGAGACGTGTCAGACCAGTTTAGAAAATTAGAAACAAAATGCACATTGTTGCTTTTATATGTGTGCAGTCTGTTTAATACATGTCTAGATTCCAAAAACAGGTGCAGAGAACAAATATAGGTTAAAATGCCATATGAAACTACATCAGGAAAATATATACACGGGTAACAAAAAAATGAAGCCCGAGTCTGATTGATGATCAGAAATAGATGCATCTTCAGAAAAGCACATATATCATTACTTGAGGAGCTACGAAACATAAAGAGTAAATCCAAAAAAGTATGCACTTGTAGTCAAACATTCCAGCTGGTAAGTGGTAAGTATATATACATCACATGACCGACTTCACGCCAATATACAAGGAAACATATTTGAAACAAAAGGGTGCCAAAAAGCTCATTGTTTGCCAATAACACATGCTCAGCACAATAATTGCTCAAGTTGGACCGAATTGCAAGGAAATGAGATATAAACTTTAACAAAATTTTAAGACTAATTTTCTAATAAGCCGAACAAAAAGAACTAACTCAATTATTCTTAGTTCTATAAAAGCTCAATATGAAAATCACATTTGAGCTTGAATCTCACAGGATAATTTTGTAAAAAAGAAGTTAGCATCTAAAAGATAGGTTACATAACCACCCTGAGTTATTCATTCACTTATGGTCAGACGCTAATTAGCATATTTCCCATGAAAACATTCTCAAACTTGAAAGCACTAAACAAAGCTGTTCTTGCTCAAAATAAAAGATGGTGCTTGTGACACAATGAATCTCGCTTTGCAGCCAGAAGATTCCATCCTACTTTAGGCATATTGTAATTAACCAGATTTCCCTAAGAGTGGTACCAACTTACTTCCTATGAAAGCAAGCCCTCATATTAATTACCCCTCCTAACGCATAGAAGAGAACACTTGATCAATGATGAATTAATCTTTAAAATGTGCAATAGTTTTAATTTTGGATGTGGGGGATGGGGCAAACCCAATCAAGATCCCATGGTACATTCATCTGAGGAGTATCATAGGTTTCAGTCTACCAACACTATCAATGATTGATTGTAGCGACCATGAAATCTAATTAGCAGTAATGAGTTGCCTCCTCAGGGATCCCGAGTAAACTGAAGTGATTAGATGTAGGTTGATTTGATTTAGGTTGAGACTTACAACTTCACTTGGGAGTTGCCCGTAATTTAAATTTAGATTGGGACTTACGAATCTGTTTAGGAGTCGCCCATATATTTGGATTTGGGTCGGGGCAAACATCTTTCATTGAAAGTAACCCAGATAGAGGGTCTTACGACTTCCCTTTGAAGTAGCCCGTATGTTTATGTTTGAAACGAGGGTCATACTGCTTCCCTTGGAAGTAGTCTGTAGGTTTGGGTTTAGGATTGTTCGCTTAGAAGTTTTCCTAGCATTCGGGTCTTACGGCCTCACTTAGAAGTAGCCCGTAGTGAGGATTTAGTGTTAGGTTATTTTTACCTAGTGATTTCCTCTAACATGTGGGTCTTACTATTTCTATTAGAAGTAGCCCGTGAAAGTTCAATAGAGGATGTTAAGCCTTGTTGAACTACCCCAAGCACACCAAGAGGGGGGGAGAGGGTGTAATGGTTATTTAAAAAAAATTCTTTAACACAAAGAAAGTCTTTTTGATATTTTCAAAAACTTGAATTAAACATTTTGAACAACTGATGCGAAAGTTAAGAAAAATAACAACAATAACAATGATGATGATAATTTAATTAGATCAATCTAATATTAACCACAACATTTTCAACATGCATTTTTCGAAAAAATAAATTGCAAAAAAGTAAAATGCGGAAAATAAAATTAGAACGAGAACACCAGAATTTTATAGTGGTTCGGTCAAACAATTACTTATGTTCACTACACGGAGTCCTCTCCGAGTATTGTACTAACTCTTAGTGTCTCTCGGTCTCTCCTTTAACCCCAACAACAAGGCAGAGAAATCCTTACAAGAATCACTTCCACCAACCCGATGCGGCAGAGAACCGAAATCCTTTTCACCCTCTTGGTGAGGCAGAGAACCTTGAAAGCTCTTTTCACCCTCCTGGTGAAAGCAGCGAACCTGGAAGCTTTTTCACCCTCTTTGTGAAGGCAGAGTACCTTGCAATCCTTTTTCACCCTTCTGATGAAGGCAGAGAACCTCGACCAAAACCTTGAAGCTTTTCTTCCCAAAGCAACCCCTACCAATCCACAATGCCCTATGGAGGAATCAAGGTGCAAGCTTGCTTGGAACGACTGTGTGAAAACTCTCACACTACTTCTCCCTCTCATAAAACTCACCTTCTCCTTCTCCACCCTTCAAGATTGCTCACAACTCTCTAGCAGAATTCCTTCAACAGCCAAAAGTCTCTCTTAGAGACAATTAAGAAAATATTTTTATATAAGGTCGCCAAAAACCTTAAAATTTCAATTCAACCGAAACTGTTCAAACAATACGGTCAATGATCGTGCAATACGATTAGTTCAAAAAACTAGATGTCATATAGTATGATGAAAGTCCCGGGATGAACTGTTCAAAATAGGCATAATGATCGTACATGACAATTTGGAGATCGTACAGTATGATTAGTTCAATTGTCATATGATTGTATAGGATGATTTCCGAGACAATTGAAAATCGTCCCTACCTATCGTCCAGTATGATTGACACCATACCGTATAATTAGTTCAAAAATCAAAATTTCATCCAGGACAATCTCCGAGACGACCTTTTTTCGCCTCTGACTATGATACAGGACGATCAACATCGTACAATATGATCGAACATATTAATTAAACATTAATTTGATTGACTAATCAAGGGGATTACATTAAGTAAGTTTTCAAACATCGTACTATACAAACGTCATCGTAAAGCATGATCAGTTAAAAATCAAAAATTAAAATACTTACTTAAATCTAGTTATGATTGGCAGCTAGGGTTTCTATTTTAAATGGATCGTACAGTACGATTAATTCAAAGACATTGATTACAAAAGTTTTAGTTTTAAATCGTCTCAAAAATAATTGATCCTACATTACAATCTGGATCGTACTGTATGATTAGTTCAAAATTTTAAAATTTATTTTCTCACTCCCCCGTGTGTATGTGCACGGTCGACAAAATAGCATACAACTTTTACAGGACTTTGACTTAAGAAATTTAAAAATAAATAAGAATTACATACTCTTGCCAACCATATTCCTATTCTACCCAAACTTAAGCCCTGAATCTTCTTGCATCATCTATAACGTACCTGAAATGTTAGTACACACAAACATATACGCAATACAAAATGATATGAAAAAATGAAAGTACAATCAATAATATTTGTTATCATCAAAATCACAATCTTGGGATCCCGAATTGCAACAGCCCGTATAAAAGGTCTTACGACTTCTATTAGAGGTTGTTAAGGTAAACTTAGGTTAGCGAGGATTTAGCTTAGCGGGGTTTAACAGTATATACTTAATTTTGTGTTTGTCATCACCTCGCACATGTTCTAGTGTTTTGTTTATAGTAGTAGCTTCTAACTCACAATAGTGGCTTTTATTACTTGTTTTTTTAGCACTAGTCTTGCCTGTAGTAGTAGTTTTACTTATACTAGTTTTTACTTTCAACACTTTGTTTTCACTGCTTGTTTCTACCTATTGTACCGGTGTTCTTCTTATATACTAGTTTTATTTATCGCCCTGCGTTGACTTTTGTTTACTTGTTTGTAAGTATTCAAGGCTAGAAGCTAGAGCTTGCACAAGGTTGGAGCTTACTAGGAGCTGGGATTGGGTTTGCTTGTGTTACCTTTTGAAGTTTTCTTTATGTTTTCTATTTTATGTTGTATGTTTTCTTTAGTTTTAGGATACTGGGGCTTAGCTGGTGTGCGATGTTCTTAGATTTGTATAGTGGAAACATTAATTTTCTGTGTTTGTTTTTTTAATCAAAATGCATTTTATCATAGTGGCTCTCCCCTCACTGTATTTTTACTTACATTTTAAATTTTTATTAATTTAATTTAATTTAAAGCTTAATTTTTAAATTAAATTAACCGCTCAGCTCGTCAATATATTTAACAAAAATTAAATATAGTTTAAAATTGCTTAATTATTTTAATTTAATTAACCTTAATTAATTAATTTTAAGTTAATTAATTCAAATGATAAAGCTCTAAAAAAATTTAGCAATTTTAGTAGCCTCCACGGACAATTTCGGCAACCTCCCGGCATCCCTCCCCACGAGGAGAGGTCGGGAGGGCACTTGCCCTTTCTACTCAGCCCAGCCGGATAGAACTCAATGGTCGGGGGCTTCGGGGGACGAATCAACCCCGTAATTGGTTTTTGAGTCTTGCAATTTGGCAATCGCAGTACCTGTTAAGAGAATTTTAAAATTTGGCGTTTCCCCGAAATTTCAACAATCTTTTGGTTATCCCTCCCCACGAGGAGAGGTTGGGGATGGCACTCGCCCTTTTAGATCTGCTCGATCAAATCAAAATTGATGATCGAGGGCTTCTCCGCTTGGACGAAGAATCGACCCTGATATACGTCTTCGATTCCTTCAATTAATGATTGCGACATCTCTCTTGATTTATATACATATATATTATTTTTTTTATTATCATTATATATATATATATATATATATATACATGATTTCTTAATAATTATCATTATTATTATTTATTATATATAAATAATTCCCCCCTTATACTCATAGTTTAAAATCAAGTAAATAAATTGTGCGACAGGAATTCGTATAAGGCAAGTAGAAGAGATCGAAATTTCAGTCGTATGAAGGATTGGGAAGCAATGGGATCCTACTGTATGATCGGAACTGGGTGCTGGTGCAGGAGGCGAAGCAAACAGCTGATATCGTTCACTTTTTGCAGGACCTTGGCGCGTGAGACAAAGCGAACGGGAGGCTTTGAGAGGCCGGCTCGAGCCTAGTTTTGTTCTCATGTGAATAGGATGGGAGGTGGGTCATGACCGCGGTTCAAGTAGATCTGCAATAGGCGAACCGGGCAGGGAGGCGGACTCAGACACGTTGGGCTTGGATCGGACGCCAGCAGATAGATTGGGCGCAGGTTGCGCGCAAAGGGAGATGGAGTGGGAGTCAAGTAAGCCCATGAGAGGCCCAAAAGATTTGGCCGTGTAAACGCGGTCGGGCGTCGGTACATGGGGGGTGTCCACGTGTGGGGAAATCCAACAAAGCTGTGAAAGAGTACTCGATCGGGCACAAAGAACGAACGGAAGACAAGCAGCCTAATCAAGATCAAGAGGAAGCGCAAACAACATACGAGGATTCCAATTGCAATCGGGCATGAGCGTAACCCTCCATTTCTTTCTTCGTGCCTTTTTAAATGAACAGAGTAGAAGTTATTTTCAAGAATGTGGGGTGGGAGGCGACATGCGTGAGAACGCCGTGCTTTTCCCTTTTTTTCTATAGTTGATTAATTTTAATTTAATTAATTTTATTAGATTTCAACAGAAGCAAACTTCAATGAATTATCTCACAGCATTCATTTCACAGCAACACGCAAAAAATATACATATTCGCGATGAGCAAAGCATTCTTTTCTGATGAAAAGATTTGAAACTTATACCCCTACTTCGAAGTTCAAAGCAAATACCATTTCTATAAAATTTTGAACTAGGTCAGGTTTTCCTTTCATGTTAAGGAAACCCATGCTAATGACCTACAAAAAATCTTAATTAACTGGATAAAAATATATATTACTTACACAACATAAAGACAAAAGAATGTAGATTCTCTTATCAAGCTATTCAGAAAGCATAGCAATTCTAAAGGAAGAATACAACAACCACCACTGAGTTACCTGTCTGCATTTACCCACGCCACTGACTGTCATTTTCCAGTCAAGCTCTTTTTGACCAATCTCTGCATCTAACTCATACAGTTCATAGAATTTTCCCTAATATTGTAAGAATATCATTAGCATTTTCATAGCTTTGATAATAATAAAGTAGAAAAAAATACTTTAAATATAACAAGGTTGGCGAAAGAAGAAATGGATCCAGATATTGCTTTTAAGTGAATATAATCAACAATACTTCATCATCATCAGAAAAGAGATAATAAAAGGAATAATGGAATCAAATGCGCAACAAGTATTACGGTCGCATCTCAATTACTTTCCATGCTTCTACCACTGAATGAAATATCAAATTTATTGAAGTAAATCTATAAAAGTTTATCTACAACCTAAGAATAATTTATCGATCAAGTTTCATCACCTGTTATGATCTAACTGTTAATCAAACCATCAAACTTGGCAAAGAAATGGACGACTCACTAAAAGTCATGCTACTATCTTTTAAATCAAATGAATTCAAATCTATTGAAATTATTCTAACTGCATTTTCATAGGTGTGGTGTTATTGAAGATGCTCGCTAGAAAACCAGGAGGGGTCATGCGAGGCTACAACACTTCGCACTTCTCTTAAGCAAATGTTATTACTAAGGTACCACCTAGAAAAGCACTTTGGTGTAAGGTTCTAAATGATGATCTCCTAAATGCAATTTTATTTTATTATATAGCAAAGCACGCAACCATAATAAATAGAGGAAACAAATATTAAAGTAATAAATATGATAAAACATTTGGAAACTACATAAGTCCCTTCAAGATAGATATTGAATCATCAAAACTTACATTTGAGACTCATCATTACAAGTGGAATTCCATTGATCCAATTTATATAAATAACATGGATGATAATAATGAATGGTCGATTGGAGAAATGGAAATAATATCTCAAATGTCAAAGATAAATTAGAATTCGATAAAAAAAATTTTACAAAGGATTGTGTAAAAAGAGCATCAGGAGTTGGAGGTAAAAAAGGATGCTTATTGGGAAGCATTTCAAGTCAAAATATAAGTACAAGAGCTTCTAGTTCACAGCAATAGATTTTGATGACAACAAGGATAAGACTAGAAGATAAAAGAGTTAGTGGGCTACAAATCTACTGATGGGAAAAAGCGTGCGAGTGGCAAGGCTGCCATTTTGATATCTAGAATGAAAAGAAAAAGGAAAAAAATTCCTATTATAGATTTTACACTGAAATAAAACTTGAAAAAACTTCTTCTACCTATTATAGTTTACTATTTTAATGAGAATATTGTTATATTATACCCTTAAAAAGTATTCCTCATAATTTAAATTGATGAGCATTTAAGTGCCTTATTTTGCTCAGGCAAGCACCATTCTTCTCATACATTAAGTAGTTATATCACCCTGAAAGCACCTAACACCTTTAATAACACTGCATACATACTTAAATTTTTGCATTTAATTTAAGTACTCATACAACATAAAATTGAGAAATGTTTTTTTATCACTATCTAAACCATCTAGTATGGTGTTATTTTAATAAAATTGGTGCAGGACCAAATTATCTCATAGCGTTTGACATCATGCTACTGTCACAGAGAAATTTAAAGTAAAAGGTCCTAATTGTCATTTCATGTTGCATTATTGACAAGTCAATCAAATAAAATCAAGTTAAAAATGTCTCAAACAAGATAGATGAATATTAATATACCGCCTACTCTCTCTGTGGCAGGTAGTATCTGTGTACAAGTTGACCACTATGCTAGTAAGTGTCAAGAATATTGGTTGAATAATTTGAACATGGCATTCACCATTTCTAAATAGGAACTAGATTACATATATATATATATATATATATATATATATCTAAATTGGCAACATATTATGAGTGGAATATGCATCATGAAAATCATATGTTCCTTTGTTACAATTTATTATTTGAACATGACCGATTTCTTTTATTTCACTGAATTTAACTACAAAATGTAACATGGAAATATGTTTTTGATGAACATGCATCATGGAAGCTAAGAACTTTTCTTATGCAATTTAATAATTTTAAAAGTTGCTATAGAAAAATCCATTACAAATGACATAGAACTCAAATTGAGCTATCAAATAGCAAATGACTAATATAATCATGTTCAATCAATGCTCTATCATCACCAATATCCTCACTAGCTTTATCAGCGTACTAATATTGGCATCATCACTTCACGCCTATGATGCACTGACATGGACACGGCGACATGGGCACGACACGACAAGGACACGGGACACGGCTTTTTTAGAAAATATAGAACACGGGTATGGTGCAGACACGGCATTACATTTTTTTATATAGTGTATAGATATTAATGTAACATCATATTAGAAATGACAAACAATAATAAATGAATGGCATCATAACTTGTCTAGCTTATAATTACAAAATGTCTAGTACAACCACAAAAATATAAGCAAATAATCATTTACTACAACATCAAGCATTCAAGCTTCAACTACTAGGATTAGCTTCAGGAGTTTATTTTTGGCCTTCAATATCATCATCATTGAATATCATTGCTTCCAACTCTGGTTCATCAAGAGAAAGTGATAAGGGCATCCTATCGTGGAAAGTATATCAGAGAAGGGGCCGAAGATCTACGGCTACGATTGGACCATTTTATTTCTGAGCATTTATTTGTATTTGATTTTTATTATGTATTTTTTCATTTTACCCTCACTTAAGGGAGCAGGCTTATATGACCCCAGGGGGCACTTCTATCATTGGACATTTTATTGTAAGTCATCTATTTATAGACATCTCCTCCTCTTTGGAGACAATGATGATTATGAAAAGAAAATTTTCATCACTTTGTCTCTTGGTGAGTTGTGATAGTTCTTGTGAGAGCTAGTATGAAGTCCCTAGGTGAGGGCAAGGCAGTGCCCGTCAGCCGCAGGAAGCGTTCGGGCTCGCGGTTCATCTCCACCGCCAACCCTCCTTCCCTTCCTTCCTCTAGCCGCCGGCCCAACTCCTCCCCCCTAGCCGCTAGCCATTCCCAACTTCCCCTTGGCCGATTTTCACCCTACACCGTCAGCCTGCCCCACTCCCTCCTAATCCGCCGGCCACCCTTCCCCTCCAAACTGCCGTTCATCCACCTCTTTCCATTGCATCCAAAATTTCAAACCATCTAATCAAAACTTTCCACATTTAGCGCATCATAAATTTGGAAAGTCCTAAATTCAAATTTTAATTCCCTTAAATCTGATATTTCTTTCCAAAGGAAGGATAAGTTATGTTAGGAAAGTTTCTCCATTCATACCAATTTGAATTTTGAATAGAGATTTGCCCGAAATTCCCTTTCCTCAATTAACATCCTAAAATTGGCAACTCCTTTAAATCCTCTAATTAACCCCAACTCCCCTAGCCATTGTCGCCCCCTCCCTCTCTCGCCTCCATTATAACCTTTCCAATTTAAGTTCCCCAATCATCCCCCCATCAAGATTTGCAACCCCCTCCGCTCTCTCCTTATTTTTAGGGTCATTCAAATTCAATTTCCCCCCAATCATGCACTCCACTTAGAGCAGCCATTAAATCCTAATCAATCCTAATTGATTCTTGTCTTTAATTGCATGCCACCTAGACAAGAAATTAATTCCAGAATTTTGTTAAATGTTGGAATTAAATTCAAAATTTCCTAATTGTTGTCCATGCTTGTCTTCAATTGATTGCATAAACCATATCACTATCTTGTTGGCTTTAATCTTTAGTTTAAACACGTGGGAAGCAATGAATTGTTGAAGTTCTATTCATAAGCGTGTAATTTCAAATTCAATAACATCACATATGCACGTCATCCTACATCAGAAGATTTGCAATAGTTTATTGGACATCATCTAATGAAAGTTGGTTCTTCTTTGTATCTATTAACTTCTCTAGTTCACTAGTTCTCTCACATAATGTTTCTTTAACCTCTAATCTAAACCACAAAGAATGTATCTATTTACTTTATGTACTTCTCTAGTTCTCTACTTCTCTCCCATAATGGTTCATTGGATATCATATATTAATCTTAATTCTTTTATATTCTAAATATTTTCTATGTCATTCTAACTTTTCACCTATTTCAACAAAACCCATCAACTAGAATTACAATAAGGCATGCACATAAAGATCTTCCAAACAAAATCAAAATTCTTCTTATTCTATGTTACTAAAAATTGCAAACACAAATAGGCATAAAAATTTTCAATTATCATTATAGCCCGTAAAAAAAAAGGAATCATTCTTTAATAATCATGCCTTTCAATAATCGTGTTGATGCATATACGAGCGAATGTGATATTTTTTTATTTAGTAAATATAAAAATATAAAAATTTTATAATTTAAAATAATTTTATCATTAAAAATTAGAACACGCATGTCCCTGCCGTGTCGGGTTAAATTTAAACATTATATTAATCGGACACATGTCTGCCGTGTCCGACACATGTTCCAGCCATATCGGGCACGTGTCCATGTCCGACACTGCATTCTTTCTTCAAAAGGTGTGTCGGTGCACATAGCTTCACACTAATTCTATCTACATGACTTAAGGTCTATTTGGGGCAACTAAAATGATCTGTATGATCAATTGTGAAACTACAATAGGAAAAATATATTTTAAAGGTATCCTTATAATCTAGACAAAAAAATTATAAGATATTAGATTAATAAACTATGGAACACAATTGCACCAACACGGGATGATATGCTCAACCATGAGAAGTTGTTCAAGATAACAATAACGTTTTGTAACAATTGAAAAATAGTTAGATAAACATCAAATGTGATGCGGTTTGAAAAACATAGCTAACAAAATGATGTCCCAAGCAAAACCTTGTTGGTGCATCTGCTGCTCTACATGTAGCCTAAACCTATGCCCATTTTCAATAAACATAACTTTTACAAGTGCCTTTTTTTTAATGGTAAATGATAAACCACAAAAGGTGCGGGTCGAACACATGACCTTGGAGAAACAATTTTCTAAAACAACCACTAAGCCATGTAGATTTTCATTCACAAGTGTTATTCCAACAATCTCTTCTATATTGCTATCATTATGCCCTTCCTAGTTTAAATACACATTCATCTTAATATTCTCATTTACGTTGAGACTCCAACATCACTTGTAATTCATACAATGGCAGGTCTAACAAAATTGTCATATAGTATAACACAATGGGAATTGCAATTTTTAATAAAGTCTACAGAAAGATATAAGGTAAAATACCACCTGTTATTCATATAGCGATGAAGCAAAAAGTATAGCTAGTTATCATAAACTATAATTTTCAGCGTAACTTACCACTTTAAAAAATAGTATAACATCTAAATATTGGCACTTCACGCTCCAATATTGCTTCTGAGATGCTGACATTTTCTTCAATGCATCAGGCGGTATGTATAATGTTCTCTCATCATACAATGGATCACTAGGGCGTCTACCATTTGCATCTCGAATTGAATAAGGGTTAAGCCATTCGAATTTACTAGTAGAAATATCAGATTTATCACCATGAACTCCTTTTCCTGGGAGTTCTTCATTTAGCTTCTGCCTTTTATTAAATCCTGAAACGAAAGAGCAAGTCACCTGGTCAAAATCACTTGTATTTTGTATCCGCTTAAAGTGAGGAACACGTGGCCGCACAGCAGGGGTTTCTGGCCCCAGCAAATCCAAGTCAAATTTTATATTTTGCGCCTTCTCATCAACGCCATGAACAAAATCATTATCATTATTTTCCCTATCTTCAAGGGACATTCCATTTCTCTTTTCTGAATAATTATCCTCAAGCATAGAGGATTTAGATAGCAAACCAAATGAAACACTGTCGTTTTGGTTCCTGCAGATGATGAATAAAATATGAATCACTATTTCAATGCAAGCACAGGAAGGTGTTTACAAACAATGTGGATAACAAGAGTTCCGATTTTAATATTTTAATATATGAAGCAAGATCAACCGTCCATACTCTAAGAAATGGAAAGAAGAAGAAAAACTGTTTACGGTTGCTAGGACCAAACTCAGGCATCGAAAGAAGAACAAGGACCGGCGAAGACTCCATATACTAAATCAAAACAACACAAAAAAACAGTCTCATCTCGTCAAGCCGTCTAGGCACATTCTAAACATTCCCCCTAGCTCAATATAAATTGATCTCTTATCATTAAATGCCCTTGCATTAGGTGACGATGGCAGCAAAAAATCGTAATATCAACTAACTTGACTAAATCGACGAATATCAAAGAAGAATAAAACGATAGCATCCTTAAAACAGCTAAAGTTCTCATAATCGAGGACAAGAAAGCTTGAGTGTAATCCTAACTCTAGCTGAAAAATACATTGTACTGGAGCTATTTGACTGGTCATTCTTGGCGAACTTATGGAGTATGCTCGAGAAGGGCTGCGCCACGCTTTCGTCATCGAAATCGACCGCCGCAGGAAATCTCGAAGTGAAAAGTGAGCGACAGATCTTCTCCGGTGGAGTGTCGGTTCCTCTGACATCATCCGCTAAAGGAACTTTGGCGGAGATTCCTCCGAGGTTTGAAGCCTGGGCTGGCTGCAGCGTCGACGGAATCTGGCAAGGCGTCTTCCCGGAAGCGTTGTGGGCTTCCGGTGAGGGTTTTTGCAGAAAGGATAGGATGGATTTCTGACGCTGCATTTCGCCCGGTGGTGAGAGATTGAGAGCGCGGGGAGTTCTCGAGGCGTTGGCAGAACTGATACAGTCTGACTATCTATAACAATGAGAATTTTGGCGCCAAAGTGGAACTTCCAGTGGGCTGAGATAATGGATCACTTAATAATCTTCAGTACTGGGCCGACCTTATTGAAAATTTAAATGAACAAGGGAAATTTAAATATATTTTTAACCTTTAAATAAAAAAACAAACTGAAAATGAACTAATTTCGCTGATTTAGCTTTATTTGATTTATCTTATGTTATTTTATTTTTATTTTTGCCTTGGGGATTAATTTTGTTCAATTCAAATAAATTTATAATAATTTTTAATTGTTCGTCACTTTAGATGTTTCTAAAATCATATCATGATTATCTTGATTTTCTTAGTGGGCCGACTTTATAAATTTAGGGTTTAGGGAATAACAAAAAATAAAATTCAACATAGGTCTTTTTAGGTCTTAGTCCAAAGCCAAATAAAACGGAGCATCATGGAAAAATTAATTAGTAGAATGTATTAATTTAAGAATGAGTCAATACATAAAGTGATTTTTCATAATCAACTAATATCGGAAAAAACATTTCACTTTTTCGACCAAAAACACGAAAAACGTATTTTGATTTTAGTTGATTACGGAAAATCATGTATCGTGTTGATTACATGAAAAATACTTATATATTCACCTAATAATTAGTCAAACAATCATTTTTCTCCTCAAATTCTAGTCATTCAATTGTATATTTTTTTCTACTCAAATTCTGCTCGACTGTTCCTTTTTTCGTCGGATTAGTCTGAGTCACTCTCTCTCTCTTCCCACGCACACGATAAGGTCCATAAATTTCAGATAAATTGATGGTCCTAGAATGAATGAGATGTGAGGAAATGAAGTGAAGTATGTAAGTTAACAATGGAGTCTTGGGCTATAAATAGGATCTAGTAAAATCAATTATATCTGAGAAAGAATGCATAAAAGGCTTTGACTTTTGAGAAGTCTTATTACAACTTCACATCAGCTACACAACTAGCAACAACATATTTACATACCTTTTTTTTCAAATTGCCTTAAAGCTCTTTTTTTTTAGATATATATAGATCATCAAAATTGTATAAACATGGGGTGGTGAAATAAGATATGTTTTTTCTCTATTTTACCTTCATTTTGTAGGAACAGAGAAAGGGCAAGTGGACAGAGCGAAGCTAAGAAACGAGAAGGAAATAATTGTCGTATATTGATAATGAATACATGTTACAAATACACATATATATAGAGCTAATGAGTAAATACAAGACACGTCATATATAATGACGTTGACAGCTCAATAACATGTTCCCTCAAACTAAGCACTCATTTATTGAATGGTTTGTTAGCGTCATAGTTCGGTGAAGCGAGCTGAAGAGAAAGGTTTGGTGAGGATGTCAGCTGTTTGGTCGATGGAGTTTATGTGAACAAATTTTATTTATTCGGAATTGAGATGATGGAGAATGAAATGATAGTCAATCTTAATGTGTTTTGTTCTTGCATGAAAGACTGGGTTGTTGGCCATAGCCATAACATATATATTGTCACAGTGAACAACTGCAGGAGAGTGTTGGGGGATCTAAAGTTCTTGAACAATACAACAAAACCATAGTATATCTGAAGTAGCCGAGGAGAGCGACCGGTACTCAGCTTTCGTGGAGGATTTGGCGACAATAACTTGCTTTTTGGCTAACCACAATATTAGTTAGTTACCCAGGAAGTGCAAAAACCATAAATGGATTTTTGGTCGGTCAAGTCTAATGCCCAGTCCGCATCTGCGTAAGCTTGGAGCTGAAGATCGCCTATGGTAAGAGGAAGCCCGAAGGATAAAGTACCTTTGATGTAGTGTAGGAGACATTTGAGTGCTTGAAATTCTTGAGTTGTTTGAGCATGCATATGTTTACAAATATAATTAGTGGCAAAAGCGATGTATGGTCTAGTAATCGATAGGTATTGAAGTGAGCTTGTGAGTTTGCGATAGAGGTTAGGATCATAGAACGGTTGAATGGAGTTGGAGCATTGGCTGGTTTTCGATGTGATAGGAGTCTATGCGGGTTTGCAGTCGACGAATCCTGCTAATTGGAGTAGCTTGGTGGCATAGTGAGTATGATTGAGGAAGAATCCTGTAGTAGTACGTTGAACCTGTCTACCTAGGAATAAGTAAATTTGACTAAGTTGCTTGAGATAAAATTGAGACTGTAGTTTGGTGATAAGAGACTGAATTTTTGTTTGATCGTTTCTTGTATTAAGAATGTCGTCAACGTAAATGAGTATGTAAATTTGAATATTTTTGTTTTGAAATAGAAGGAAGGAAGGATCAGAATGACTGAACCCAAAACCTAGGTTGAGAAGAAAATTGGTAAATTTCTAGAACCATTGACAAGGTGCTTGTTTAAGACCGTATATGAACCAAATTTGGCGATTGAACATCCACGAAGCCCAAAGGTTGTCGCATATAAACGTCGTTCAAAAGATCACCATGGAGGAAGGCTTTTGACACATCTAGTTGAAGCATTGGCTAGTTACAATGAAGCGCTAAAGTGATGAGAACACGAATTGTCGGCATTTTTGCGATAGGACTAAAAGTTTTTGTATAGTTGACGCCTAATTGTTGATTGTGTCCTTTAGCTACAAGACAATCTTTGTAGCGATCTATTTGACCGTTTGGGAGACATTTTTGTTTTAAATGTTCATTTACATCCGAGAATGGGTTTGTTAGGCCGCAGAGGCACAAGAGACCATGTGCCATGTCGTTGAAGAGTTTGAAACTCCTCAATCATTATTGTATGCCAATGCTGGAATTTGACGGCTTGGGAGTAAGTTGTGGGAGTGATAGGAGGTTTTGTGGTGGCTAAGAGAGTGAAGATGTGCTTGGGTTTGGAAATCCCCGATTTAAGGCGAGTTTGCATAGGGTGAGTTGGAATGTGGGTGGACGAGCTCGAAATGCTGATAGAAGTAGAGGTAGGACTTGTATGAGAGGGTGTGGGAGATAGAGAGCTAGGAAGATTTATATTAGGTGCAGTAGAAGTCGCGAGAGGTCTAATGGGAGTTATGGGCATATGAATAAGTATGGAGGAAGGGATAAGAAGAGAAGGGGAAGTGTATTGATTGTTGATCGAAGATGGGTAAACGAAATTGAATTGGGAAGATTTGAAAGGAAAGATGTTTTCATGAAACACAACTTGCCGAGAGATAAGAATTTTGCCAGTGATTATGTTGTAGCACCTATAACCTTTATGAATCGATGAGTATCCTAGGAAAATACATTCATGTGAACAAGGATATAGTTTGTCAGAGGCATATGGTTGCATCCAAGGAAAACAAATGCACCTAAAAATGCGAATATGAGAATAGGTTGGGGGCTTGCCGTGAAGAAGTTGATATGGAATATGAAGAGAGATGGTTTTGGAAGGGAGATGGTTTATAAGATAGTTTGTTGTGGTTATCACATTAGCCAAGAAAGTATTGAGAAGATTGGAAGCATGTAGGAGAGTACGAGTGAGATCGAGAAGGTGCATGTGTTTACGTTAGACAGTTCTATTTTGTTCAGGAGTGCGGGGGCGGCTGATTTGATGAACGATTCCTCATTTGTGAAGGAAATTTTTTAAAAATGTTGCTGGTAAATTCACCACCACGATCGGATCTGAAGAAGCAAGGAGTGGTGTTAAAGTGGTTCCGAATAAGGTTGCAGAAATACTGAAATTTCACACATGTTCCCGGTTTAGAATGCATTAAATAAATTCAAGAAAAATGAGTAAAATCGTCAATAAAGATAACATAGTATTTAAGCCCAGCAAGAAATTGTTGAGGGGCGGGTCCCCAAACATCAGAGTGAATTAAGCTAAATGGTTTAGAAGAAATAGTAACTTTTATTGAACGGTAATTTGTGGCTTTTGGACACAATACAAGACGTACAAACAAAATCAGAAGAAACAAAAGAAATTTCAAGAATTTTATGAGCAAGAATGGATAGAGGTCTGTGATGGGGATGTCCAAGTCTGGCATGCCAAAGTTGCGGAGACAAAGTGATGGCTTGAAACTTGGTCTCAAATTTATTGGAAGGTAGACGAAACTGATACAGACCTTTATGCAGATGACCAAGAAAAGAGGTTGATTGTCCTTGAGGTCCTTGATCATAAAGTCGTTAGCATCAAAATAAATAGAAACAAAATTATCGGAAGTAAGTTTTAAAACATATATTAGACTATGTTTGAGAAAAGGAACGTGAATCAAGTTATTTAGGTGAAACTTACGAGTCATTTTTGGTAAAGGTAGCAAGCCTTGACCAGAATTTTGAGTTGGCAAAGAGCTTCCATTAGCAGCGGACACCGTGTCAGAGCCCAAGTAAGAAGCTGATTGATACATGTTTGTGTTGTCAGGAGTCAGGTGGGTAGTGGCGCTGTAGTAAAGAACCCAGTCTTGTGTAGCATTGGAAGGAAATTGAGTCATCAGAGCACAAGGCGACCGAGAAATTGTTGGAGCATACTTAAAGTTACACCGATGTCAATAGTTGATTGCAACGTGTCCCAATTTTCCACAGATCTGGCAAGTTGGACGACCAGAGATGTAATGGGAAGGTTGCGAAGGAGGGGAAATAGGTAGACGAGAGAAATTGTTCTTGCCTTTGAAAGAATGTCGCTGGCCTCGTCCCCGAGCAGAAGAAGCATTGTGAGTGTAGAGAGCGATCGGGTCAGTGGAAGAAGCGGAATTAATCTTGAAGATGTTCTTGTTAGATGTTTATCTCTTTGTTGCAAAGAAGAGAGTAGATAGTGTCGAGGTCAATGGGATGAAGAGAGGTTCGAATCACTAATTTGAAGGAGTTGTAGGTGGATGGTAGCCCATTGAGAATGTAGAGAATAATATCCTCCGTATCGATTTGAGAGTTGGAGGCGGTGATGCTATCAACGATTGTCTTGATTTGAGCTAGGTATTATTGCATAGATGAATTTTTCACCTTGATGTTGTGAAGTTCATTCTTGAG